TACTTCACTCACCTCCTGATATGTTAGAGATAATATGATTGCTGTACGGAGTACTTCACTCACCTCCTGATATGTTAGAGATAATATGATTGCTGTACGGAGTACTTCACTCACCTCCTGATATGTTAGAGATAATATGATTGCTGTACAGAGTACTCCACCCACCTCCTGATATGTTAGAGACAATATGCCTTTCATAGGACCACTGTTTGACCTATTAAAAACAGAAACGTTTGAACATCTCCTTTGCCTCCCCCCTTAGCCCCGCCCACCGGTGTAACAAGCACAGTCAACCAATGCCACCCCTCACTGCCATCATGGAACAACGATTCCAAGAACTCTTTTCTCAGCGGGCCGTACGATCAGGGCGGCAGGCATTGGGCAATCTAATTTCACACCTCTGGCTTCTGGCTACCCAGGAAAGTTTCCGTAGTGGCTGGCTACTTGAGCACTCTCTCGGGAAGTCGTGAGATTTCCCACCCACACTCCACTGACCATCTGCATCGCTCAGGGCTCACATGATGGGGTAACATCTACCCCCCCATGGCAGCCCTACTCCCCTTCCTCGCCCAGGGGCATGGCCATGGCGTTAGTGTAGAGCCAGCAGAACCAAACTTGTGAGTTTTGTTTCAAATCAGGACTGAACGGGCAAAGCATTTTCCGTCTTAGACAGGTGAAACCCTCTGAAGGGAGCAAATTTTTCTTTCCGTTTCCGCGTTGGACAGGTTTCCTTTTTATATAGGTAATTAAAGAGTAATATATCAAGGGGGGAGTGGGGAGATTCTGTTAAGACAGGTTTCCGTTTTATACAGGTAATTAAAGAGGGATATACATTGTATCAAGGGGGGAGTGGGGAGTTCCCGTTTTATACAGGTTTCCGTTAAGGCAGGTTCGACTGTATTCTAATGTCCAGATTTGTAGGTGTTCACCTGTAGCTCTGTTGGTATTTTGTTGAAAGGTGTTGTAAATGACCCTGGTTCAAACCTCTAATTCGGTTTTTGTGAATCACGAAATCTGGGAAGTTTTATAGCTCTCAGTTCCCTTGTCTTAGTTCCAATTCCCAGTGCGTCAGTTTTGAACGTTGGTTGTTGGGGGAGTCTTCAAGGATCTCCACCCACTTAGCTCCAACTTTTCGTAGATGGATGTCACATGATATTGTGTGTTGTGTGTTGTCATGTCCCATGTGTGTTGTGTGTTGTGATGTAGGAACTAGGACAATGTCCCATGTGTTGTGTGTTTCCACAGTTTGGTACCAAGCCACCGCTGGGAAGTGCCCAATGACAAGCGTAGCGGAGGTAACAGTTTCTTTCTCATTCTGTCATGTGAACTTTGTGGGTGCTCTCCGTCTTTTGACCTCCGATATGACCTCTAGAGATGTACTTTTTTTTTTATTGCTTTAGCTTTATAAAAGTTTTGAAGGTTTGTTACGTTTCACCCTCTAAAATGTGCAGAAATATTGACGAAATTGGTGAAATTTGTATAGATCATTGAATTTCAGTAGAAAGTTGGAATGAATCGCAATTGCTCTTGTGATCTGAAGAGCAGAGGAATTAGTCCAGACTGCTACTTTTGTAATGTGGGACTGCCTTTTGCCATAACATTTCACACATGGAAAGACGTCTCTTGATGACTAGTTGCTACTTTTGTAACGTGTGGCTGCTTTTTGCCATAACATTTCAAACATGGAATGACGTCTCTTGATGACTAGTTGCTACTTTTGTAACGTCTGGCTGCTTTTTGCCATAACATTTCACACATGGAAAGACGTCTTTTGATGACTAGTTGCTACTTTTGTAACGTGTGGCTGCTTTTTGCCATAACATTTCACACATGGAATGACGTCCCTTGATGACTAGTTCAATAACAGTTTTGTTTGGAGACCCCCAGCAACTGATGTGAGTGATTGTACAACGACTCTCATGATGCTGTTTTTGGTCCACAAGGTCCCCTCTCTCGTGGCGCCCGCCACACAGCTGTGTCTGGCCAAAGTAGCTGAGAAGGAAGTCTTACTTACTGCAGTTCCTGGAAACAGGTCCCTTTTCCAGTGACACCAGCTATGGAGTCCTACACTTTTCCTCTGTTGTGTCTGTCTGTCTGTCTGTCTGTCTGTCTGTCTGTGTGTGTGTGTGTATGTCTGTCTGTGTGTCTGTCTGTCTGTCTGTGTGTGTGTCTGTCTGTCTGTCCCCAGCACTAAAGGACCATACTATTGGGTGGACGTGCTTCTCTTTCCTGTAACAAAGCTGTCAGGGAGCTGTCTGTGGCCAGAGTGGCTGCATGGGAGGGGAGGGTTGAGAGTTGTGTGGTTTGTTTGTGCGAGAGTCGTGTGGTTTGTTTGTGCGAGAGTTGTGTGCTTTGTTTGTGCGAGAGTTGTGTGGTTTGTTTGTGCGAGAGTTGTGTGGTTTGTTTGTTCAAGAGTTGTGTGGTTTGTTTGTGCGAGAGTTGTGTGGTTTGTTTGTTCAAGAGTTGTGTGGTTTGTTTGTTCGGCAGGTGTGCTGTGCCTAGACAACTACGACATCACCGCGGACGGCGTCCTTGACCTCCTGGTGGGCCGCGATGACGGGCAGGTGGAGGTGTACAGTTATGATGACGCAGACGAGCCCGTCCATCGCTACAGTCATGTGAGGGTTGTTGTTGTTGTTGTTGTTGGTGGTGGTGGTGGTGGTGGTGGTGGTGTTGTTGTTGTTGTTGTTGTTGTTGGTGTTGTTGTTGTTGTTG